CTATTCTTTTTATATTTTACAATCACTTTGAAAGCTCTTTTTATTATGGAAATTTTGAAAGGTTTTAATACAGAGACATACTCCATGCTTGTTGTAAGTGATTTAGTTGATCATACATTGTGCATACTGCATTCCATTGCATCACAATCTTACTGCCTTTGTGCACTGTATAAAGTTTCTTTTTATTACAGACCCAAGTTATGATGAATTGCACTCTAGTGGTGGCTGATAATAATATATTTATGAAGGGCAAACAAAATTATTAGTTTTATTAGGAAATACTTCCAAGTTTAATACTGTATAGTCATTTTCATTATAAGAAAACATACCTGATTTCAGATAAAATATAATCAGAATCCCATATTTTTATTTCATTATAGTATCATGCTTTAAGATTTAATAGCAAAATTATATATATATTTGCCACCACTACATGTGCAAGTTCTTAATCATGATTTTTAGCCTTAGTGTGCTTTGGTACCGAATTCCTAAGTGTAGGTAGAGTGACAGATATAACAATATAATTTGTAATGCTCCTCAATTATTTGTTATACTGTAAAGAGTTAAATAAGTTTTGCAATCATTTGGACTTTGGTAAATTTGTTCTGCAAATTTTTAGTTTCATAAGGGCAATTAATTGTCCTTAATTGCTGGGGAAATAAGATGGTAAGAATCAGGAAGTTAAGCTTGGGAACATTAAAGTTTATTAATGTTAGGTCATTTACTCAACCCCTCACTCTCCAAATGCTTAGGAACTGAGGTAAAAAAATTTGTTCGAGTTTTGTATAAGTCTACCTCACACCCCACTACAATGTCACATGGAGTCAATATCAAGTGTCATGTTTAGCGAAGACAGTTGCTCACTGCTGGTGATCTATTATGCTCCAGGAGTCCTATATTTTTATTAGGTACCTAAGGAAGATTATCTACCTTTATCATAATTAAAATCAGAACATTTATTCATAAATATTTTTATTAGTACAGATATTTTTAAGTAATGTTTTATGTTACTGCCAATGATTGTCAATTGATTAAAGTCAACAAGCACTCAAAGGATTTTTTGTTTAGATTTTTTGCTTTATAAAGGTAATGAGGTAAGCTCATATCTAAAACACTGGAAAAGCTATAGCAATTTAACTTGTGAAGGCTTTTGTCATGGAGTACTGCAGGTCACCAGTTCAGTGATACCTGCCAACTAGTTAGGGAATACTCATCACATGAAAGAAATAAACAATGAAATTCATAATTTGTAAACAAAAAACCACTTATGTTTATTATTATTTTCTAGCATCTATTACTACAAATTTGGCTCATTTGATTTTAATATGGATAAAGTTTTAGATGCAAAAGCATGTTTCATAAACATCTGTACAGTAATGATTTCTTAGGATGTGTCATGCACTTGCGTAAATTTTCCACTCCACCGACTTACGGGTTATTTTTCATATAATTGCAAAATTGTTTATAGCATACTGCTGAAGATGATTTAGAATATTGTTGATTGTTTAATAAATATACCAACATCCTTTAAAATTATCTTATGTTCTTCCATAGAGACTTAGTACAGCATGAGGTATGAAGAGAGATTAAATTAAAAAAGCTTAATAATAATTTATTCACATGAAGATACAATGGGTTGGTGAGATTACATAAGATTGATATTTGTACAGTCTTGCATAGCCACTAACACTCATAGCATAATAACGTGCTTAACATATATTCTCTAGATAAATGAAGAGTAAGGGGTGACATGATTGAAGTATTATATTCAAATGCCTAAATGGGTATAATTAAACGGATATGAATGCAGTTTTATATATATCAACGCAAAATGGATCATGAGGCAATTGCTATAAAGTGGATAAGTTTAATTTCAGCAAAGACCTGGATAAATATTGGTTTTGAAATAATGAATAGGAAATTTTTATAATTTGATTTATACAAATTATTAATGGGCAACATAATATATGGATCGCTGAATTGTTTCATGTGAAGGTTAGACATATATATTCAGTATATACATGCATAATACATACATGCAGGCATCCTGTTTCTGACAATGGGAATTAAAATATGCACTGCTATGTGTAGTTACCTATGTGTACAGTTTATTAACTGAAATAACTAGAGAGATGGGGTAATGGATAGTTTCCAATAGTCGAGGACAGAAATTAAGCTTGTTAGGTTTGATTATCAAGGTCTTCCTAGGCCAACTATTCTGACCTTCTCCAGGATGCAACCCACAATTATTGTTGCTAAATTCCTAGATACCTATTTACTGTTAGGTTACTTAAGTTCTTTTATTATGCACCCCTGTGAAAGGAAATGTCTTTCAAATGCTTCTATCCTACCACGGGAAACGAGCAAGGGACATCCAGCTGTAACTAGACAGTGCTTACCACTGTGCCACAAAACCCATGGTTATCTTGAGATGATTTCGGGGCTTTTTTTAGTGTCCCCGCGGCCCGGTCCTTGACCAGGCCTCCACCCCCGGGAAGCAGCCCGTGACAACTGACTTAACACCCAGGTACCTATTTTACTGCTAGGTAAAAGGGGCATAGGGTGAAAGAAACTCTGCCCATTGTTTCTCGCCGGCGCCTGGGATCGAACCCAGGATCACAGGATCAAGTCCCGCGTGCTGTCCGCTCGGCCGACCGGCTCCCCATAGTAATTTACCTTGAGGACCATCATCTCTAATGGCCTCAATGGGAACAAGAAGCTGACAGCTTGTAGAAGATTAAGATGAATTAAGACCCTGGGAGCCATGCAGGTGATGCTGAAGGGGGCTAATCAAGGATATGAACATATTTTCAGATTCATATTTCTTTGATATTTTGCCTTTAGAATGTAAATTAAGCATATTTATTTAAAGTAATTTATAACTCCCTCCTCCCCCCCTCCCTCCCTACCAAAAAAGTGTTACTTTTTGTTTTTTTAGCCATTTAAGCTAACATTATTTCCTATTAATTTATTTTGTATCATGGGAAAGACCAATGTGTTATATAGTAAGTGAAACCTAATATTAGTGTTTCATAATAATTAAGCAAAAAATCTTGAATTTTTATTTACTTATATATATATATATATACATATATATATATATATATATATATATATATATATATATATATATATATATATAATATATATATATATATATATATATATATATATATATGAGGCACAACTCTCCTAAACACGAGAGTGAAGTGTACAACTTTAGAACACTTTCCCACCAGGAGACTGGTGGGAAAGTGTTCTAAAGTTGTACACT